TGGGGCGTCATATCACAGGGCCATTAAAAACAGATATATAAAACGATTTCGCGGGCTGGATATAATTGTATGGCGGGCCGGATGTGGCCCGCGGGCCTTGAGTTTGACACATGTGACTTACACAAACCAGTACAGCAAGTAAACTTGCTTCTTTACATGAACAAACAGACTTTAATTCAGGACAATGAACCTCTGAGAAGGAGAGCGGAACTCAGAATATTTCATGAAATTTAAAATAATATATTAAAATCTGATAAAGGAAATACTTTTTTTTACACAGCACATACTTAATCTGTACAACTCATTGTCACAAAGTTTACACACACGGATGAAAAATGGGAACATCCATAGGTACATTACATTGGGTAAAAAACTAGTTCTTTTATACCGGGTATAAAGACCTCCTGCTTTAGGGCATAAACCAATTAAAAACATACAAAGTGGTTAGAAAGCAATGTCCCCTATCAGGCAGTTTATCCTTATTTATCTACTACGGAGTTTATTGCAACCTTCCTCTGAAGTATCTGGTATTGGTCATTGTCAGAGACAGGATATCAGGCTACACAGATTACTGTTTTGATGTGGTATTCAGATATGCTGTGTTGCAATGGAAAACACAAAATATTCAATCAATTTATATTTTGTACATTTCTCTTCCATACTGACAGAGTTACTTAATTATCAGCCCCCTCAATGTGTTTAAATTATATCTAAGAGATGCTTGAAATTAAAGGAATGCTCCTCTCCTATAGAAAGATCTTCTTTATTCCTGCATTATAATGCTTAAGCTCCATGCTCTCTTCACTGGTACAAGAAGGATCTGTTTAAAATGGATGATCCATATTTTGAACCAATGTCAGCTATGACATCACACTCTGCTTTCATTGTGATATCTGTTTTTTTTTTTTGGTCAGATTGACATTGAATTTTGGAGCTGATGAGATGAAGAAATTATGTGTTATCTCTGGGTTTTAAAGTTCTGTTTTTTCTTGCAGGGATGTGTTTGATGTAGTTCAAAGGGAACGCTTTTTAATTTTTTCAGCAGGGGGTTAAAATATACAGTGGAATTTAACTTCTTCCTGTTTAATATCCCTGTTAAATTAAAGCTGCCAAATTAAACAGAGGAACAGTGTATATTATGTATGAGCCTGAACAACACTGATTTTTTGCAAGATAAAGTAATAAACCGAATTCAAATTATTTTTCAGCTAATACATCCTCTAACTTGACAGAAGATAAACATGCTGGAGAAAATTTCAATAATGACACTCTTGCTTTCTAGAATAAATTGTATTTTGATATCCTTAGTACAATAACACTGAAGAACAGATTTTTTACCCTCATACATATTTGTGAGTGCTGTCAATAGGAAGATGTTTATATGTAAAATCCTGCTTTCTCTCTCTTGTAGCTGATAAGGCCTCTGCTTGGGGAATAAAATATGCTGACTGCTTATGCTGATGTGCTATTGCTAGTCTTTGTTTTTTCCATTAACAAAAAGATTTACTCTTCACTATTGTTCATTTATTTATTTTATTTATTTTTGTAATTCATTGTAAATGTATAAGGAGAATTAAGGCATAAAGGAATTGGATGTGGGAAAGCAGCACCTACATTTGTATTTTTAAACTCAAAAATACCTCTGTCATATACGTTGTTTTAATGCATTTAGGCAGAGCAGCACATTCAGAATTACAGAGGCTCTGCCTGATCATAAATACATTGCAACTTAGAAGTACGTCTAAGGTTGTTAAGGAATCCTTTGTAAGTCTGAAAACACCTGAATCACAGTGCTCCGTAGAAGGAAAATTTCTTACCAATTACTAAAGTTCTCAAAATAGATAGCCTCTGCAGAGAGACACTGTAGGAGGCACACTTGCCTTGCAATTCCACAGCCATTCTAACATATTTTAAACATCCGGGCATGTGTGCGCCTCCATCTGCGGACCCAAGAACCAGGCCTCATCACATAAGTATTCATTTCTCTACTTCATCTAAACTAGCTGCAGTACTCCCAAGAAGCAAGGAAGGAGGATGGATCAGTGTGGATCTGTAGCAACAATATATTTTGAGAGCTCCAGTTACTGATTAGTAACGTTCCTTTCTCTCTCAAGAAACTGCTTCATCAGACATGGCTTGTAGAAGATTAGCACACAGTAATTCTCATGAAGAGGGATAAGGACCATTTAAATAAAGACTTTTACATCTAAGATGCAGATACTATTATGTAAACAAGCTGTGGAGGAAGGGTTACTCTTGTAGAATGGGCTCCCAGTCTCTCCAGTGCTGTAAACTGGGTACCAAATTTCATCCGGTCTTGATTTTCACCCCAAATACTAGAAACAGGATATTTTGCAAAAGCACATGGTTTTAAGCAATAACTCAAGGTCATTTTATGTCCATTTTATACACTCTAGTCTCAACAGGCAAGCTTTGTTGCTTTGGGAACAAGCCTGAAAAACTTATGGTTTCATTGATACCACCTGAGGAGAAACACTGAATGAAGTACATATAATTTATAAACCAAATGCTCTTTAATATATATGTAGGGGTGTAAGTGCACACATGCTCATGAAAAGCCATACAATAAGAGACCAAGTTAATAGGGCTGTCAAGAGCTTAAAAAAATTAATCGCAATTAATCGCACTGTTAAATAATAGAATACCATTTATTTAAATATTGTCCTCTGGAATGGTGGGCATATGAAGGGGCATATGAATGTTTAGCATATTTGGTATGTAAATACTTTGCCATGCCTGCTACAAAAGTGCCATGCAAATGCCTGTTCTCACTTTTTGGTGACATTGTAAATAAGAAGAGGGCAACATTATCTCCTGTAAATGTAAACAAACTTGTTTGTCTTAGCGATTGGCTGAACAAGAAGTAGGACTGAGTGGACTTGTAGGCTCTGAAGTTTTACATTTTTTTATTTTTGAGTGCAATTAGGTAACAAAACAAAAAAAATCTACTTTTGTAAGTTGCACTTTCACAACAAAGAGATTGCACTACAGTACTTGTATGAGGTGAATTAAAAAATTCTATTTCTTTTATAATTTTTACAGTGCAAATATTTGTAATAAAAAATAATATACACTTTGATTTAAATTACAACACAGAATACAATTTATATGAAAATGTAGAAAAATATCCAAAATATTTAATAAATTTCAATTAGTAGTGTATTGTTTAACAGTGAAATTAAAACTGTGATTAATTGCGATTAATTTTTTTGAGTTAATTGCATGAGTTAACTGCAATTAATCAACAGCCTTACAAATTAGACATTGCCTCATACATTTACCTACCACATGGTCTTACAAATCACACACAATTTGTAAAACCATGTGGCAGATGAAGTTATTAGCCGAAGTCTAATTTAGTCTACTCCTACTTCAAGCTTGTTACAAAATTACAATACTTTCCTCATGCTTCAATACTCCCATGAAACCCCATACAAAAAAATATACTATTGTGAAAACAGACTTCTTCAGAACATGCAAATGTTTCAACTCCCCAAAGCAGTTTTTCTGGGGGGAGAGGGGGGAGAGAGAGTGCAAATCTTAAACTGCTAGTAAAATTCAGCACACACGAGTTAATTAGATTTTCCACTTACTCTTTGTATGTTCTTGTTTCAGGATCTTCAGTCATAACATCATGCAGCCCTTCCACAGAAATGTTAATGATGCCACAGAATTGATCTTGGATAACACTGGAAAACAACAGGAAAATGTTTTAGCTGGACTAGCTAAACAGGAAATTTGCTTGATAAGCATAGGGCACACCTATATTGCAGTGTTTTCATTATTTAATGCTCAGCTGAAGACATTGTCAAGTAACTTTTCAAAATTTTAAAAATAAACTACACAAACTGCTAAGAAGCAACTGGCAAAACAAGTGACTAAAAGTATCGAAAAGGCAAATTAACTAGAAATGTAGAGTTTTCTTTTTTTTCCTTTAGAAGGATGAAACTGCACTATACGTCTACCAATAACTTATACCATACAACTTTGTAGACAATTACAAAACTGGATAAAAATTGAAATATCTTAAATAAGGGAAAAACCTTTATCATTACTATATGAGTGCAATTCATCTTTACATTTGAAGGATAGGATTAAAACTCAAAATGATGTGCACAAACTGGAGAAATGGTCTGAAGTAAATAGGATGTAATTCAATAAGAACAAATGCAAAGTACTCCACTTAGGAAGGAATAATCAGTTAGACACATACAAAATGGGAAATGACTGCCTAGGAAGGAGTACTCTGGAAAGGGAGCTGGGGATCATAGTGGCTCACAAGCTAAATACAAGTCAGATGCACACCTATACTCCGATATAACACTGTCCTCGGGAGCCAAAAATCTTACCGCATTATAGGTGAAACAGCATTATATCGAACATGCTTTGATCCGCCGGAGTGCTCAGCCCTTCCCCCCTGGAGCACTGCTTTACCATGTTATATCTGAATTCGTGTTATATCGGGTCACTTTATACTGGGGTAGAGGTGTATTAGCAGGAATGTTGTAAATAAGACACAAGAAGTAATTCTTCTGCTCTACTCCACACTGATTAGGCCTCAACTAGAGTATTGTGTCCAGTTCTAGGCACTAAATTTCAGGAAAGATGTGGATAAATTGGAGAAAGTCCAGAGAAGAGCAACAAAAATGATTAAAGGTTTAGAAAACATGACCTATGAGGAATATTGAAAAAACTGGGTTTGTTTAGTCTGGAGAAGAAAAGACTGAGGGAGGACATGATAACAGTTTTTAAGTACATAAAAGGTTGTTATAAGGATGAGGGAGAATGTATTTTGCTCTTTTTAAAAAAGACTATGTACAGTAAACCTAAGAAATATTAAAAATATGGAAGAAAGAATGATATTGGGACTGATTCTAACAAGCACAGTTTCTAATAGCAATCATATATTTCATAGAATCGAACACTTGGAAGGGACCTAGAGAGGTCTTCTAGTGCAGTCCACTGCACTCAAGGCAGGACTAAGTATTACCTAGACTATCCCTGACACGTGTTTGTCTAACCTGCTCTTAAAATCTTCAATGACGGAGATTCTACAACCTCCCTGGGCAATTTATTCCAGTGCTTAACGACCCTGACAGTTAGGAAATTTTTCCTAATGCGCTACCTAAACCTCCCTTGCTGCAATTTAAGCCCATTGCTTCTTACCCTAGCCTCAGAAGTTAAAGAGAACAATTTTTCTTAAACAACTTCTAAAATCTTCTATTAAAGCAGGGGCATATCAACACTGTCTTTATGGAAGATGATTATGTACTAAAATATGGTATATAAGCTTGTGAACAAATTGTTGCTACCCCAAAAATGCTTTCCTTCTTGAGTAACAAAATTACTTACATTTAATTTTTTAATCAAACAGTCATATGAGAAATTAAATTCAAGAAAAATCTTGGATTTGAATGAATACCCTTACCAGCAATAGGCAGTTTTTACATTAAGGCCAGTAAGGACCAATATGATCTAGTTTTGACTTCCTGTGTAACACAGGCCACAGAATTTCACCCAGCACATCTTTTAGAGCATCATCCAATTCTGATTTAAAGACTTCAAGTAATGGAGAATCCACAACATCTCAGTGATTAATTATCATCACTGTTAAAAAACTGTGCCTTAAATCTAGCCTGAATTTATCTAGCTTCAGCTTCCAGTCATTGGATCTTTTTATGTCTTTGTCTGCTAAACGGAAGAGCCCTCTACTAAAAGTTTAATTTTTTAAAGTTTTAGTTTGAATGAAGCAGCTATGGAAACAAGACCTTGTACCTAGCTTTGAAGACAGCTATAAAACAATATTTTAGACTTCATTGTGATGGGTTGATGGTAGTGACTCTCCTGTTCTATTTTAAGGCCCATTTCATTCTTTCATGCTTGAAAATGGATTTGTTGAACTGACCTCATAACTTTCACTATTTTGGGAAAAGCGATATTGGGAGCACATAATACTTTAGGAAACATTTTTGTCTGATCCAGATACTAGATAATGTTTTCACCCCTCTACTACAGTGCATGCTTAGTCTCATGAAGGCACTAGAATGCTCCTATGGACTCTGCTGGAGCATCCAACCTCTCAACAAGCCACTTTAGCAGCACATGGCCTGCATATATACTATTCTGTTCTTATACTGCACCTTTAACCATAATATCTGAATACCCTCCAGCAATGCATTAAGCAATGTGACTAACATAAATTGTGTGTTTGTTCTTTCATCCCCTCCCCAGGGGAAGATTTTGTGCAGTGGAGTGTTTTACTTTGGATTTAAAAAAATATATTTACACACACACACACACACACACACACACACACACACACAGTTATATTAGTTTATATAGAAGAAAGGAC